CAAGAGATACCTATCTATTTTGCAAGAGTTGTGATAGATGTCAAAAAACGGGCACCATATCCATGAGGCATGAGATGATTCAAAGTCCTATCCTTATTTGTGAAATCTTTGATGTGTGGGGAATAGACTTCATGGGTCCCTTCCCTATTTCGTTTGGTTATACTTATATACTCTTGGCAGTTGAGTACGTTTCAAAGTGGGTTAAAGCAAAGGCAACACGGCATGATGATTCAAAAACTGTTATTGACTTCTTGAAGTCAAACATTTTCGCAAGATATGGTGTACCGAGAGCCTTGGTGAGTGATAGGGGCACTCATTTTTGCAATAAAATGATGGAAGCAATGACAAAGAGATATGGTGTCACACACCGGATATCAACCACTTATCATCCACAAACAAATGTCCAAGCCGAAGTGTCAAACAGAGAAGTCAAACAAATTCTTGAAAAGACCGTCAACACTACCCGAAAAGATTGGAGCTTAAAGTTAGAAGATGCTTTATGGGCGTATCGGACCGCCTACAAAACTCCAATTGGTATGTCTCCATTCCACCTTGTCTATGGAAAATCTTGTCATTTACCGGTGGAATTGGAACACAAGGCATATTGGGCGGTTAAAAAGTGCAATTTCAATCTTGAAGAAAGTGGAAAGCACCGAAAAATGCAACTTCAAGAAATCGAGGAGTTAAGAAACGAGTCTTAAGAAAACGCAAGCATCTACAAAGATAAGACGAAAGCGTTTCATGACAAGCACATCACTCGAAAACACTTTATTCCGGGCCAAAAAGTTTTTCTTTATCATTCACGCATAAAGTTATTCTCGGGAAAGTTGTGATCTCGATGGCACGGACCTTTTATTGTCATAAAAGTGTTTGATCATGGTGCGGTTGAAATTAAGAGTTTAGAAACAAATCAAATATTCAAAGTGAATGGGCACCGCTTGAAACCATTTTATGAAGGCTTTGATACGGGAGAATTCGACAACATAACATTGGAAATCCCAAATTACGAAAGTTGATGGAAGCGGGACTATGTCTTGGCAAAGACCTTAAATAAATGCAATGTAAATAAATAATGTCTGTTTGAAGTTTTGGGTGTTTCTACACTTGAAGTTGGCCTAAAAATAAGCATATATAAGTCTTCCAGTGATTTTGGTGAAGTTTGAAAAATTCCAAAAATTTGACTTTCGCGCGAGTTCCAAATTACACCAACATGGGGTGCTTTCTGATTGCTGCGCGCGGGTGCCCGCGCAGTCGTTGCGCGATCGGCCCCCAGCCGTGCAGATTCCGAGTTCCAAATTACCCCAACATGGGATGTATTCTGACATATGCGCGCGGCTGCCCCCCACCCGCGTAAAGTTTGCGAGGGTACCCGCACAAATATGTCATTTCATAAGAAAATTTCGAGCCATTTCATGTGCGTCCTTTGCGCGACCAAGCTTTCATCCATGTGTATTTAGGCGGCCAAGAACTCCATCCAAGCATCATTATGCGATGCACGTGTTGCTTCCATACCATCCTCGCGGGCCTTCTCCATCTTGATCCCGGTATGATCCTTCCTTACTCTCATCCTAAGCATTGAGGACAATGCTTAATTTTAAGCTTGGGGTGAGGTAATCTAATCTTTTATTTTCAATGCATTTAGGTTGTATATAGTTGCATTTAGAGTTAGTCATTTAGGGCATTCATAAAAACTGCATTAAAAAATTCAAAAATATTGCATATTTTCTTTCTTTTCTAATTTTCATACTTTTTAGATGCATTCTAGTTTAAGTTCATGCATTTTTGTTCTCTCTTGTCTTCTCATCCCTACAGGTACCATAGCGCCGAGTCATAAGTATTGAATCATAGATTGGTCATGGGTCTTGATATGGAATTCTTTGTATTTGATGAATGGGGCACGTTTTGAGCCTCACAGACCACTTTGAGACCGGTTGTGTGGGGGTCAAATGCAGGTAGCTTGATTGGGTCTAGGTGCGGAGGGATGTGGTTGGTCATGCCAATGTGTGCGAGCAAAGACTAGCCCGGTAAGGTATTTTGAAGACATTGAAGATATTGAAGACTCGCATCTTGGTTTTGGAGGGAGTACCCTTAGTACTCCCGAGTCTCGTCCGAGCCTTGTTTAGTTAGATTCTCACCGCCTTTTTAGGATAGGTTATCAATTTTCTAGGGGTCTAGAGTAGATAGTTAGATAGATTTTGTTTATCACACCTTGCATTGAGGTGCTTGATGAACTTTGAAATGGGTCCCCCAATTCACATCTTTTGGGACCAAGTCTTTTCGGTAACACCCATTTTTGAGTCATTTCCCACCCTTTTTAGTTGATCTTGGCACATTGTCAATGATCATTAGGTGTTCATATTAGCCTCCATCTATCACTCAATTTTCACTATTGGAGTCCTATGTTACTTGGTGAAAATCCTTAGACCTTCTAAGAAGCAACACAAAGAATGAAGAAATTTGAAAAAGTGAAGAAAATAAGAGCCTATTAAAGATGATTCAAGAAAAGCAACAAAAACAAAGAAGAAAAAAATGAAGAAAAAGAGCAACACAAAAAGAAGAACAAGATTCCAAGTTCAAGATTCCAAGTTCAAGACTTATGTTATATATCTAGTTTGCAAAAAAAAAAAAAAAAAAAAAGAAAAAACTGGATGTCAAGCAGCAAATGTGATTGAAGACCCAATAACAGAAGTTCAGGATTGAAGATTTAGGTTGTTAGGTTTAGATTTAGGTTAAGTATAATTTTTATTATTTTATTTTATTTTATTTTTGATTTTTGGTGAGAAAAGGCCCCGACGATGAGACGGTAGACTGTAAAGGACAGTACAAGGGAGAAGCCTCTGAAACCGGATGTTTGCCCGGAGGCCGTGCTGCAAAACCCTATTTCGTTATTATACACTTTGGCCTGACAAATGTAGGAATCATAGTGTGTGAAGAGGCGCCTTTCCTTCGTGCACTATGGTATATATTGGTGATTTAAAGTGCCCCCACTAGGCGCATCTCTCTGTTTCCTTTGTCTTGCACACCGCGACCGCATCCAGCCGTGATCTATTCGCCCATCAAGTGGTTGAAAATGTGGTTTATGGCTCTAAAGCGGGGAACATTTTGAAGATGCGTAGGGTCCATGAAGGACTAATTCTGACCATGTTGACTGATGTTGACCAAGTTCTATGGTATCTTTCTTTTTCCTTTTTAGATAGTTCATCCCGAGCTCATTTTTAGTCTTGTTCTAACTTGAGGACAAGTTAGGTTTAAGCTTGGGGTGATTTGATAGCTTATTTTATTTCCTTATTTTTATTAGTTTATTTTAGATTTTTAGATCTTTTTATCATTAATGCATTGTATTTTATTTATTTTTCTTTAGTATGGATCGTACCGGGTGCTTGTTATGTTGCATAAGATATTTTGTAGGTTTTTCGGTGCTTGTTGCGGTTGCGGGTTGATTGGAGACGGGCTTAGTGGGCTCCCGAGGCATTATTGGGCTTGGCGGAATCAAAGAGGAAGAATTGGGCTTTGAAAGTTATTGACTTGGATTATTTGGGCTTGTGAAGATGGATCATAAAATTCAAATTTTGGGCTTGGAGCATCCATTTGGTGGCTAAATGATGATTGGTGCATTTCAAATTACATGGACAAGGAGGGGGGACCAAAGGAATCTTTGGTAGTGGAAGGGTGGAGTGGCTTGGTGGACCAATAGCATTACAGCAACATTTGCGCGGGTGGAATTTCCGTCGCGCGGGTACCCGCGCAACTGCCCAGTTTGGGCATTTTGGTCATTTGGCTTGCCATAACCCTTGGGGATCAGATCTAGAAGCTCATTCACGATTTTCCACCATTGGAGACCTGCAAGAGGCGATTTTGGGAGCTAGAAATCATTTCCTTTCATCTTTCCAAATCTTAGGTAGTTTCTTTATGCAATTAGATTATTGTTCTTGTTACTTTGTTGCCATGAGTGGCTAATACTCTTATTTGGTTGACTTTGGCTGAAAACCAATGAATGTTTGTGGGTTTTGAAGGATTTATGTTGATTATCAATTTATTCCATGTTTATGATTCTAGTTTGCAATTCTTATGCTTATTTGATACTTTGATCATGAGCTTAGTATTTGATTGAGCAATAGTTGATTTATTTCATTGATTTTGCATTGGATCATTGAATTTATCTAGAACAAAGGCTTTATGATGGTAGAAATCATCTCTAGCTTATGAATCATATCTCCTTTATGGATGTGTAAGCATTTGACATCCTCTAGGAATTGGGGATTCCTTCATTCTTAAGGCTAATTGATTTCTTGGGATTAATTGCTTCAATTGACCCTTGATCTTAATTAAGAAGGTGTGTTGTGGGCTTCCCCAACCTCCATACTACCTATGAGGAATCTTGGCATATCATGCTTCATGATTGCTATAACCAATTTGGGATGAAGGATAAGCTTTGTATTAGATCCTAATGATAAACACACAAATGTTCATTGTGTTGAATTGCCTTAGTTAACCAATTATTCACAATCTTTGAGCATCTCATCAACTTGCTTAATTGCAAGGTTTTTAGTTATTCAAGTATTTTAGTTTTCAAGTAATCAAACACCCCCTTTTTATTTTAATTGTAGTTAGTTAGTTTAATTTCACTAGTTCTATTGAATTGCATTGGTGATTGAATACAACCATGTCCCCGAGGATCGATACCCCTTTTTACCAATATATTACGTTTATTTAGCAATCAAAGGGTGTAATTTGCTTGGTGGGCTCGACATCCCAACCACTCTTCCAACAGTATTTGGTAGATGTATATACATGTATAGAGGAGAGCCGTTTGGATTACATTGTAAAAGATCAGACAAATCTTCATTCTGATTATGTTAGTGGAATCTATGATGCGCTTTCAAAGGGAGATAAGGAGCAAGGTGCTTTTGGGAAATGTGTACTTTTGCCTGCGTCGTTCACAGTTGGTCCGCACTTCATGTACAACCATTATTTAGATGCGCTTTCCATATGTAGGGTGTATGGCAATCCACAATACTTTATCACGTTCACATGGAATTGTAAAGTGGTCAGAGATCACCCGCTATATGGATACACATCGCCAAACCGATTCCCATAGTAGAGCATATATCATTGCTCGGGTGTTCAATATCAAAGTTCATGACTTTATCCGGTTTCTTAAGGAAGACAAAACATTTGGCGGCGTTGAAACATGTATGTTTTCCACCTAGCTCCCCTTTCAGTTTTGAAATTATGTTATGTGTAGTTTGCTAGATTATGTGATTTCATTTTTGTACTGTTTCCAGCTGCTTCATGTATAATAATTTTGTTATATGTTATGTACAATGTTGTAAAAGGGGTTCACTTTTGTTGATTGTATGTTTTCCGGATGTTTTTCTATCATTGTATATATCATATTCTCTATCTTTGTTCCAAATTGTTATATATATGGATCTATCGAATTACATATTTCCTCTGTTTTCAGTGGTCTCATCATACATGTATGATAATTTAATTCCTTCAGATAAAGTTTACTTGACCTTTTATACGATATGCAGCTTCCTGTGGAGTTCGTTGTTTTTATAGACCCATATTTCCAGCAGTGTTATGACTCCTGTATCATCGTTTGATTATTTAAAAAAAAAAAACTTTATTAATCTTTTATATAAAGTGTAGCTTTGTATTGTGTAGCTAAGTTTTTATAGACAGTCTTCATTTTCTATTCATCATTTCCAAATTACAGCTTTTATACGTGTTGTTGGTTCTGTTTTTCTATACATCGGATGAACTGTTTCTTCTGTTTCCAGGGATCTAATCACTTATGTATAAAATTTATTTTTCATAAACAAAATTTAATTGAATTTTGGATTTTTGTTAAAATATTAACAAATTTTATATGAGCAAATTATTTTTCATAAACGAGAATTTAATTAAATTTTGATTTTTTTTTTCATTTTCTATTCATCATTTCCAAATTACAGCTTTTATACATGTTGTTGGTTCTATTTTTATATAAATTGGATGAACTGTCTGTTTCTAGGGATCTAATCACTTATGTATAAAATTTCTTTTTCATAAAAAAAATTTAATTGAATTTTGGATTTTTGTTAAAATATTAACAGATTTTATATGAGAAAATTATTTTTCATAAACCAAAATTTAATTGAATTTTGATTTTTTTAAAATATATTAACAACCTTTATATGAAATGGACATTACCCCCGTATTCAAAACTTGGTACTACTGCCACTGCATACATTTCATTTTCTACCACCCTTCTTCATTCTCCATTTTTTATGCTTTCCAAGCGAAGGTTTGGTTTTATTGATTACTTTCATTTTGTATCTGTTATCCCGAAATTACCCTTCCATAGATATGTTGCTGCTTTTACTCCTGTATGCAGCTGTTTCTTATCTAATATCTTTTGTACCCATATCTCCTGCTGTGTTATTTCTTCATTATTTTTAATTTTTATGTGTTGTTCCAACATTACCCCTGCATTCATAACTTGCTCCTCCTGTGACTGCATACATCTCATTTCGTATCTGTTGTTCCTTATCACCGATACATCGTATTTTCATTTTTTTTTTTAAAATTAAGCACTTATACGATGTGCACCTTTGTATGGTATCAAAATTATTTTTCATAAAAAAATTTAATTGAATTATGATTTTTTTTATATACAGGAAGTTGTATTTTCTTCATTACTTTCATTTTGTATATGTTGTTCCAAAATTACCCCCACATTGATATCTTGGAGGTCCTGCCAGATTTTAGAACTTGCATACGTTAACATTCATATTTTCCTGATACTAAATTTCGTCAATTCATACATTTAAACCTGATCACGTGTATTGAGTTCTAATCAATAGGAAATTACAGTTTCTTTACTGTAGTGTTCTCTTTTATGTTGTTGTTACTGTTTCCTGTTCTACACTGTCATTGCTTTATGATTTCAATATCTGATGCTTTAGAAGATAAAGACCAGCTTTATAATCCCTTTTAGCAAATGTTTTCCAAACTGTTGATCCTTTTGAAATCTACATTATTGCAGATCTGTACACTATTGAGTTCCATAAAAGAGGTCTTCCGCATTGCCATACCTTACTCTGGGTATCAGCTGCGGACCGCGTAAAAATTGCAAGTGATGTTGACAAGTATATCACAGCTGAGTTGCCAAATCCAATTACGGAGGCAGAATTATACGAGACGATAACAACCTGCATGATTCATGGTCCATGTGGACCGCTTAACAACTACGATCACTTTTCTGTCATCTACTGCTTTTCTGTGAGGTTAGCAATCCACTTTTGCTGTGGAACACTGCGTGCGATAGGATGAACGATGATTACTTACATACCCTGAGAGCCGAAGTACCAGATAAGACAATTACCTCTACTGCTGGGATTGTTGAATAGTAACTCCTTAATGATTTAGATGACACACTCCGTTCTGCCATCCCATCTAAATCAATGGCAAACTTTGGTCTTCCAGTTCCGTCAGCCAATCTGATTGGTGTTTTACGAAATCGAAAGCTATTGGAAGAAATGAGTTATGATACGAAAGAACTACTAAAACAACACAATGATCAAGTACCAAAGCTCAACAATGACCAACGATTAGTCTACAACAAAGTTGTTACTTCCATAGAGAACGCAAAACGAATACTAATATTTGTTTATGGACATGGTGGTACTAGCAAAAAATTCTTATGGGTGACTATTCTTTCCTATCTGAGATCGATAGGCAAAATCATTTTGGTTGTTGCTGCATCTGGAATCGCATCGCTTTTATTACCCTCTAGGAAAACCGCACACTCAAGGTTCAAAATACCTATTGATTTAAACAACAAAAAATCATGCGATATAAAAAAGCGCACCTTCCTTGGAGATCTTATGCAGTGTACAACACTCATTATCTGGGAAGAGGCGCCAATGAGTGACAGAAGGTGGTTTGAATTTTTCGACCATTCACTTAGAGATGTGCTAGACTGTGACGAAAAACAGTTTGGGGGCATGTCAGTGCTCCTTGGTGGTGATTTCAGCGAAACTCTTCCTGTTCTACCAAAAAACACTCGTTTTGAAATTATCGCACTAACTCTACCAAGTTCATATTTATGGTCATATTTTATAGTTCACTTTTTACATACGAACATGACACTAGAGTCCTCTAACACAATATCCCATGGCTCAATGACTTTATCAGACTTTGCCACATGGCTGCTAGCTATTGGTAATGGACATATAGGTGTACCTGACAAAGATGACCCACGGGACTCAAGTTGGATACGAATTCCATCTTCACTCCTAATATCACTTTCCCCTGATTCTCTACAGACCTTAATATATTTTGTCTCTGGGGATGATACACTTAATGAGCCGACTGCCACACTGCTTTCAGCAAGAGCAATAGTTTGTCCCACAAATAATTCAGCTAATGAGATAAAAGCTCACATTTTAAAAATGGTGACAAGTGCCAGGGTATACAATAGCACAGACACCATGCAGCCGAATGGAAAACACACATCAGATTTGGAGGGCCTCTATCCAATAGAATACCTAAACCAACTAAGCTTTCCGGGAATACCACCACACGAGCTTCTACTTAAGGTAGACTGTCCGATAATGTTGTTAAGAAACATAAGTCAGAGGGAAGGCTTATGCAACGGTACCCATATGATTGTTTCACAATTGTTACCATGTGTTATTGAAGCGACAATCATAACTAGCACTTCCATTGGAAAACGTGTATACATACCACGTATAAAGTTCATACATAACTCATCAGATCTACCATTCATCTTCTCACGAAAACAGTTTCCAGTTAAAGTTTGTTATTCAATGACTATCAACAAGAGTCAAGGACAATCACTACGTAAGATTGGAATATATTTGTTACAGCCCATCTATGCACACGTCCAACTGTATGTTGCCCTCTCGCAAGCAACATCACCAGATTCCATAAAGATACTAATAAACATCAGCGACACAACTAAAAACAACGAAACAAAAAATGTTGTCTTCAAGGATTTACTGCACAAAGTCACTTCAACTGAGGTCTACAGTATCACTGCCTGTTATACCCTTCATCAGCGTTACTACTTTCCATTTTATACATATTCTCTTCACTATTTCAACACTTTTTACATATGTATATAATTTTCTATTTTCATCCAAATATCTTCCTTACCTCCACACATTTCTTTATAATAGATAACACAAACAACTAATGACGAGTATCTCAGAACTGAAAGCTGAGCGTATCGCAGGCCCCTTAGAAGTTAGAATACTACGCAAATAGAAACACGATGTCTGACAATATGAGACCTGGTACCTGGCTGTTCACAGATTTGTATGTTTCCACCAAAATATATTACAACAAAACAGGTTTCAAATTCCATTTTTTCAGCAAATGAAAACTGAATTTCAAATTTCCAACTAATTTGAAATTCCTAAGAAGCAAATTCTTAATTATCACTCTTTAATATTCGCAAAAGCAACTGCTTTCTAGCTTAAAAAAACACATATGATTACAAGACGATACAATTGTGTAACAATAAAATCACATGTTATACGATTCAATCTAATGTTATGGTGATCTGTTTCTACAGGCAGATACAATTCAAATTCTTGGACAGTGAACAAATCAGAGCTACATTGAATCTGTTTTCAGTGTTTTAGAATGTTACATCATATCGGATTATAGCTGTCCTCAGTTAGGCAAGTATCAAAAAGTTCTTAAGAATGAGTTCTATATTGATGTTGGCCTCAAGTCTATCATAGGAACCAATTCCAGACACAACAACGGTTCCAAAAAGTTGGTTTCGCTTTGTATCAATGTCACATCTGATAGAACTCGGAGAAATGCCACCATACTATCCAGGTATTCATTAAAAACTTCCATATCTGTCCCTTTTGTTATTTGCCTCAAAACATCAGCAGGGTTATATTTGTCAACCTCCAAACTCAACAAAAAAAAAAACCCAAGTATGAACAATTACATTACGTCAAAATTGTTCTTATTGGTCAATTTGCAGTTTCTTCCCTTTTTATTATTTGCCTTAATACATCAGCAGGGGTATATTTGTTAACTTCCATATTCAACAAAAAAACACACACACATATGAACAATCACTTTCAATAATATAAAAAATTTATCTCGAAATTGTTCTTATTGATTATTTCACACCTTCTATTTTTTTTTGTTCTTTGGATGAAAACATCAGCAAGGGTATATTTGTCAACTTCGAAATTCAACAAAAAAAAGGACAAAAATTTGTTGGACTCTGGTAGTTGTAAATGACATCAACATTTGTTACATACTTACATTTACCTCTAAATAGACTTCATTGGCATTCTATCAAAGATAAGAGATTGCACGAAAGCAAATGGAGAACCATTTGTCTTTCTCATACTAACTAACGAAAGGTATACATACTAATTACAAAAGTATACGCATAAATTCCATCATCACCATATAACACCAAAAACAATTCAAATTTCATTAGTGGCAGTGAACTTGCAATCAATCTATGGAAAGAATGCATAACCAATCCACAGAAATTCAACCGTGCCTCCCTAGATCGCCCATGTACGATAATAGTTGTTGTAGTAACAAACCTAAAACCATCAATATCCAATGGTATGCTCTTCTACATACCTCCATATATATATATATATATATATATATATATATATATATATATATATATATATATATTATATATATATATAATATATATATATATATATATATATATATATATAGACACACACACCCATCATATATTCTAATGTTTTTAATCACCAAATACCTTCTATGTAGGAGCATTACGGCACGGGTCATCACATGCTACACATATCTATGTTAATCCAGATATACCGGAGACAACACTCATAAACCTGTAACTCACATAAATTACGTAAATATCCTACAATCCATATTATTCAAATATATACAAATGACAACATGGTTTCATATTCACAGGACTCTCAAGGCCGATACCAGCACTATCAGGAACTCCCTCAACCCTATACAACATGAAACTGAAAAACAGATATGATCTACTAGTAACATGATATGAATAACATCACCATCTAGAAATAAAATCTATTTTATACTCTCACAACGAATTGCTCTTTATGTATAGGATAAAACATTCATAGTAGAAGCTTTAATCAAGGAATTTCACTTCCAAAACACCTGGTACCAAACAACATGTCCAATTTGTAAAGATCCGATTTTTAGAAGAGGAAAATAGTGGTATTGCAGTGCACATGGACTAATTAAAAAGCCAACCTACACCTAAGCATCTTCTGAGGCATATGGAAAACCATTATTCACTAACTATACTACTTACAACTTCATTATATCAATAGATATAAATTCACAGTCACCATCACCGACACTACGGACACCATACATGGAGTTGTATCCGAAACAGCGTGTTAGAAGCTGTTAAAATCATCACTTGAAAAGTTTATATCCGACAACCCGCTCCTAAATAGGAACACCCTCCCTTCGATCATCACCGATCAAAGAGAACAAACAAAAACAATTTCTATCCAAATGCTCAGGGCATCAACAATCGACAACATCCGTGTCATAATAATTGACATCCAAGAATCAACAACACCATCAGAGACACCTGTCCCAACAACACCAGCCGAAGCACGGATGACAAGAATACGCCCAAATGACGGAACACCAGAGCCAACCAGACCTCCTCGCCCTGTCACACGCACTCTCACCTTCACTCCACCAGGTAAAAAACAATGTAATGAAATAAAAAATAAACAACAAAATACGAAAACGAATACTAACGCCTTTCCATTACTCCTGTCATAGGGCCACCAACACCAAAAAATCAAAAACGGATCAAAAAATAGCAAATATCGTGAAACAACACTATGAAATCCAACTTTTCTTTCGGATAATATGCTTATCTTTTGTAGCAAACATGATAAACAAGTATCCTGTGTAATATAAACAATAATAAACGAACACCGTTTGCATGCTTCCAATATTCCAAGATTTGACAAAAAAAACCCATACAAATGATAGTTACTTAAGAAACTCAAATTTAATATCACACCAATATAGGCCACATGCTTATCCCACCCTATATTAATATGAATAAACACATATAGAATTAAATAAATTTATATACAACAACAATTAACAATTTAGAAACTACATCAATGAAAATAGGTACCATAATGTTAGCAATAGTATATTCAAATAGATATTGATGCTACAAAGCCTACTGAAGACAGCCCATATATTAATTTCGATTCGTATATTATCCCATTTTCCAAAAAAAATATGCCCCATGCAGTCAAAGATTTACCCAGATATTACCAATTTAATACCACACCGGAACCCAACTATCACATCTATCAAATAAAGGAAAAAAAGTCACAGCCACCCTACATCTATAACTTCCCAGAATATGAATTAAATGCCTCTAATAAATACAATCCAATAACCACAATAATCCCCTATAAAATCATACCCCAAAGATATCACTTTCTCCACCAAACACGAAACATACAACATGGAGATGATCATGCAAAAACTCCAAAACCAACTCAAGAAAATGAAGGAATCATTGGTGATGGTACAAAACACATACACCAGCATCAACGACTCAAGTCAAAATATGATAAAAGAAGCTCTAGTGGAAATGCCATACATGCATGTTGTCATCACCGAATCCTTCATCAAAGACCTCGACCAAGACACCGTCATCATGTTCGACATGATCCAACTGATGCAGGAGAACATGAACGCAGAAACAAACATCTGTAGGAAGATCATTCAAGACCTCTGAGACTTGCTCTACTTAATTACCACCATACATTCTCCCAAATACAAATGTAACCACATCATCCATCTTTGATCATCCTTTACAAAATCCCTTCACTACATTGTTTCTTTCACAATCCCCTGAACCTATACAACTTATATCTTCACAAGCTTAATCTGATGAAGAAACCGAAGGAGGAGGTTTTGGAGGAACATTTGACGCTTTACACTTTGATTTTGAGGATGAGAAAATTCCTGATCATATGCTTATGTCAGGTAAGCAATTTAAAATCCTGAATCAAAATTCGAATGCAATCATTCAATCACAAGCTGATTCTGGTACAAAGTCTTCCGTATCACGTTTGGAGGTTGAAACTTTGCTTAAATCTGCTGAGAAAAGAATAGCTGCGAACGTTGATGATTCTGATAAGACTAATGAGCTTCGCATTCAAGCTCAAGGGAAATCTTTTGACAGTGATGTTCAAGAAGTGAAAACTGCTACTCGACTCGCTCGTTCATATGGGATTTTGAGGTTGAAACTTTCCTTTTCTCGACCCGATAGTCCTATGACTGGTGAACATTTGGTTACTCGACTCGCTCGTTCATATGGGATTTTGAGTCCTAACTTTATTCAGAATCTAACATGTTTCAAGGATTTGGATTTGTCGATTCAATTTTTGAGTCTTATGCGAGTTTTGGTGAATGTTGGTGGGGGTATATAATACTCTCGGAAGATGATGAGAAACAAATTGGTCAATAAGGGGAGAAACCGAGGCAAAGAGAAATGAGGAACGTAAGAGCTCGTTGAGAAAGGGGCCAACAACAACAACCACCTCAACAATTGGAGGGTAGGGTACCAAACGACCGATTCCAAAGTCGGGTTGCTACTTATTTGGATAATCTTTGTGATGGTGGCAATTATCACATTCAAGCAATCGATGTATTATTTTCACACCTTAACTTTAAGTGACCGCCTAGCATGCCACCTCATTACCCTTATATTCCGACATAGGAGGAGTTATGTTCGAGAAAAGGAGACGGAGCCGGGACAAGTGGAGTGAGAGATGACGATGATGATTATTGATATTTATCAGTTTATTTTTGGTTGTTTTTATTTTCTTAGTTATTTTGGTGTGTTTCATTTTATTTTGTGATTTTTTATTTTTATTTGGTATGTTTTAAATCTTCAAACCGAGTTGTGTGATGGTTGTTTTATACTTTCACCATAAAATTTTGTTTTGTTGCTGATTTATTATAATATCAAGGGAGAAAAAAATGAGAGAATAAAGAAAGTGTGAGAAGCCGTGTATTTTAATGTTACATGTCAAAGCCCATAATTCTTAATAAGTTTGGGGTTATTTTTGTGTGAGAAAAGAGATTAGAGAAAGAGAGGGTCCAGAAAAATAGAGGTTTTAGAAGAGTGTTAATCCATTTAGAAGGTCAATTGCACATCACCTGAATGGAGGAAGTATTGCAAAACTGATTTCTGATGCACCCAGTTTTCACAACGTGATTTTTACTCACCACGTCGTGACCTTGATGTCATCATGATTCAGAATTCGATGTATATCGACACCACATCGTGAATTCTTTAACCACGTTGTGGTAGCAAAAAAATGGCATGTCTATTCTACTCTATCAACCTTACAATGTGGTGTATGCTTTCCCACATTGAGATACTTTGCCTTGAAGATCTTATGAACCACACTTTTCGAATATAAAAGCTTCTAATTCACATATTGTCGACACATTCACATGTATTAATGGAATCCAAGTTCCAGTCACACACTCAAGGTGTTCGAGTTTTTCACACACGTTCAGAAGTCGATATCGCCACCACTACCTAGTGGAGTCTTTTCATTTTTCTCCCTTTCATTATTTTAAATTATTTTATTCATACAATGATGTCATTGTTTGAAATAAGTATGAGGTAGGGGGTTAAAAAAGTAAAATTGCTTGAAATTTTAAAAATTAAAAATAGATTTGGAATAATACTCTTAATATTAAGTCTATAATTAAATAAAAGCTTAAGTTGATAGTGTTGCGTGTGATGATCCAATGTGAGCTCAAATGTTTAATTGAGCCAACATATGTTATAGTATATTTGTGGCTTTCCAAGTTTTAGTGAAAAGCCATGAGACATGAAGATAATCTGGTAGTTTATATGGCATAATAAGTTTTTCAGCTTGTACCTGAAATCGATCCAGGAGAGGTTATGTAGTCAATGCACATAGACTTATACCTCTAACCAATAAAGATTGAAGTTAAGGTCGCTTGCTTAAGCATATAGGATTTGAGCGAAAAAAGGGAGAGATTAAAAAAAACGAGAGAGAAAATTACAAAATAAATTTGTAAGAATTTTGGAGCTATCAAAGTATGAAGATCAAAAGATCAAAAATTCTTAAGAATCAAAAAGTTGAAGATACCAAAAATCAAACTAAAAGGTGGTGAATTCAAAGAAATTAGAGTGTAATATCAAAGAGGAGAAGAATTCCAAAGAGCTCCATTGTGGTATTAAAGTTGTAATTTTTCTAGAGCATGTATGATTGGGTAGCTTAACAAAAAATAAATTGAGGTTAAGAAATATTTCTAAGGATGGATTCGGAGGGTTGCAAAAATGAGTGTCGTATAAGCTAAGTAGTGAAGGTTCATAAGGATTGTGAGTATTTAGGATTACGTAGTTTTTAGGAACCTTAGACGCAAATATACGCATTGAGGTCTTGGTATAATGGCTGAGTTCAAATGGAATGTCTTATGAGATATTGGTGATGAAAGTTTAAATTAAATGAATTAATTTTGCTTGGGGGAAAGAAAAACATTAGTGTGAGGTATTTTGATATTGCCATATTTATGCACATTTTAGGCAATATTTTAATATAATTTAAGTAGTATTTTGGATAATTGCAAAGATATGTGATACTTATTGAATTAAAGTGTGGTTTGCAGCTAAATGGAACACTCTTGAAGAATATGCACCAGAGTTGACAAGGATTGGATGTTTAGAGGATTGGAGCTTAAACAAAATCCTACGAAAAACCAAGATCACGACGTGGCAACTCAAGGACATGACGTGAAGAGGGTATTTTAGAAGATTACTACGCGTGAAGTCAAAATCCTTGTCCGATACAAATTTTTACCAAGGTCACGACGTAAGACCCTATTTCACATCATGAGTGACATCTTTTGCGAAAATACAAATAGCCTCTTGCATTATCAAAAGAGTAGCTTTTGGGAGGAGAGATAATTTGAGATATCTGATTTTAGAGGTAAGAGAAGTTCACAAAAAGTACCTTTGAAGGAGAAATTGCTTGAAGATTAAGAAATTGAAGAACAAGTCATCACATCAGTTTGATTTACTTTAATAATGTTGCTTTATGTTGAACTTATGTTTTTGTTTTCATCCATGAGTAGCTGAACTTATTTCCTTTTATTTAGCTAGATGAATCTTTGACTCTGTGGCTTAATTCATAATTTAATGATTTTATAAGTAGGTTTTGAGCAAGTGTATGATTATCATTACCTAGCATGTTAAAGTTTGTGACTTTGTTGCTTAAATTGAAGGTTAGTGTAGCTTAATGACCATTAAATTACATGAACTTGATTACTTAGTGATTTAGTGTAACACACTGTTCCGAATCATTTCCTAATGCAAGATGGTGACTCAAAGCCGGATTATCATCAGGCTTAGGGCCTTTGAGGAAAAGAGATTTAGACCCATTTGAGTGTGGACAGGGTAATTTGGGGCAATCCAAGAATTTTGGTTTGTGTTTTGGAGCCAAGGGGTATTTCGATAAAGTATCATTTTGGGATTTTATGGAATTTGGATTTTTGTTTGAGAGGTTTTAAGGAATTTATGAGTTGATAAAAGTGTAGAGCTTCTCGTTACCTTTTCGTGGATATCAGGATCGTTGGATATGGATTTAGAATGAAGAAGTTATGGCCTTTGGAAGTTTTAGTGGTTTATGGTGAAAATAGACACACAGGGTGTACACAAGTGTACGTGGGGCATACTTGTACTAAGGCCAGTACACGGTGCGTACAATGGTGTACGCTAGGTGTACTGAGTAGTCTGATCGTGGATGCTCTAAGGAGCACGTTGGGTGTACGAGAAAATACGTTGGGCATACTCCAATCAAACCCAAACCCTATTTTAGGGTCTTGGACCCTATTTAATCTCCTTATATCATCACTTAACCCTAATATCTTCAGCCTCCATCCCTCTCAACCATAGAATCGAAACTCTAGCCCCCATTTGTATGGGTTTTGAGATTTTAGTAGTATTTCATGCTTTTTAGTGCTCATAGAAGAAGAAGGAACTTCTTAGAGAAGTTTGGGATGGCTTGAGGATTTTGGATCTAGGATTGTTGCATCTTGATCTACATTTTGGAGGTATAAGGTTTCTATCTTGATGATCTTGTATGTTAGATCTAGTTTATGGTGTATTTTGTGCTTTTTGGAGTCTTATGTGATAAAGATGGGTTTTTGATCCACTCCAGAAGAAATGGGTACTAGATCTTACCTCCATTCAGTCCCAAGGTTTATTAAAATGAAAGCTTTATGATGTATTGTGGTCCATGCAAGCATCACTTGTTAAGTCCTCTTTAAGCTTAAGAGCTTCATTTATCCATGCATGAATGTAAGGTAGCAACTTTACATAATAATCCAGTTCAAGGAAGTCAGATATGCGTGTTGAAGTTATGTCACAAGGGATTAAGTGATTGAATTAGATTTTGGGTTGAATGGATGAGTACGTTAGGCATACAAGCAGGTACGATTAGCATACAAGCCCGCACGCTAGTATGTTGCACATACGTGCTGGGTATGCCCCGTATACTATGACTGGTGGGCTTCGCATGTTTGGCACTCGAATTTGGGCTATTCTTTAGGCCTTACGGCTAAGGGCTTTGTTGGGCCACCTAAATTCAAGATTTTGGAGTAGAGAAAGTTAGTGGGCCTTAAGGTAAGCACAGTGTAAGGTTTTGGGCCCAATTTAGAAATTTGGTCATGTATAGGCCTTGAGTGTTT